TTTATTGCCTGTGCCTCTGGAGTCTTTTCCAGGAATTCTTTGGCTATACTGGTATCTTACAGGGTTTCCTTAATGCTCTCTAGGAATTTGATGGTATTGGGTCGTAGATGTAGGTCTTTAATCCATTTTGAATGAATTTTTGTGTAAGGTGTAAGGTGTAAGGTATGGGTCCTGCTTCGTATTTCTGTATGTGGAAATCCAGTTTTCCCAGCACCATCTGTTGACAAGGCTGTCCTTGCTCCAGGGAGTGGTTTTAGCTCCTTAGTCGAATGTAAGTTGGTTATACATGGTTGGATTGATTTCTGGTGTTTCTGTTCTCTTCCATTGGTCTATGCATCTGTTTTTGTACCAGTAGCATGCTGTTTTGATTATAACTGCTTTGTAGTTTGTCTTTAAATCTGGTATTGTGATGCCTCCAACTTTGTCTTTGTTGTATATGATTGCTTTAGCTATCTGAGGTCTCTTGTGTTTCCAAATGAATTTCACCATCATTTTTTCTAGATCTAAGAAGAATGTCTTTGGTATTTTGATTAGTATTTCATTGAATTCATATATTATTTTTGGAAGAATTGACAGTTTGATGATATTGATACTTCTGATCCATGAACATGGAAGTTTTTTCCATTTTTTATGTGCTCTTCTATTTCTTTATTTCAAGTTTTGTAACTCTTGTTGTAGAGATATTTGACTTCCTTGATTAAATTTATTCCAATGTATTTAATTTTTTGTAGCTATTGTGAATGGGATTGATTGTAGAAGTTCTTTCTCAGCCATGGCATTGTCTTTGTATACAAAGGCTGTTTTTTGTGTATGTGTTGATTTTATATCCTGCTATTTTACCAAACTCTTCTATGAGTTCCAGTATTCTCCTAGTGGAGTCTTTTAGTTCCTCTATATATATATAATATCATCTAAAAATAAGGATATTTTGACTTCATCCTTACCGATCTGAATCCCTTGGATTTCTTTTTCTTGCCTAATGGCTCTGGCTAAAACTTCCAGAACTGTATTGAATAGCAGTGGAGAGAGTGGGCATGCTTGTCTGGTTCCAGATCTCAATGGGAATGCTTCCAGCTTTTCCCCATTCAATAGGATGCTGGCCGTGGGTTGGTCATAATTTGCCTTGATTGTCTTGAGGAATGTTGCTTCTATACCAAATTTCGTTAGAGTTTTCATCATGAAAGGGTGTTGTATTTTATCGAATGCTTTCTCTGCCTCTGTTGAGATAATCAGATGGTTTTTGTTCTTTGATTTGTTAATGTGATGTATCACATTGATTGATTTGCGAATGTTGAACCATCCCAGCATTACCAGGGATAAAACCCACTTGTTCTGGGTGAATGATCTTCCTAACGTGTTGTTGAATTCGATTGGATAGAATTTTGTTGAGGATTTTTGCGTCTGTCTTCATCAGGGAAATTGATTTGTAGTTTTCTTGCTCTGTTGTATCTTTTCCAGATTTAGGGATTAAGGTGATGCTGGCTTCATAGAAGGAATTTGGAAGGATTCTCTCCCTTTCAATTGTTTTGAATAGCTTGAGTGAATTGGAGTTAATTCTTTAAATGTTTGGTAGAATTCAGCAGTGAAGCCATCCGGTCCTGGGCTTTCCTTTTTTGGGAGGGCCTTTATTACTAACTCAGTTTCTGTTTCGGTTATGGGTCTGTTGATATGATGTGACTTAGGGCTGAGTGAGTGGCAAGCAGATATGTTTTTTTATGAGCTGCAAACTCACAATACATCAGGGTGCAGCAGCAAGCACTGGACTCAGGACTGACTTCCAATCAAATAGTAAGGCAAGTCTGTGAACACTAACTCCATGAAAAATGTCATTAATTCATTCATTGACTCTTTTCACATGTATGGAGTATCTGTCAAAATCAAGACATTCAGGATCAGAGCTGTAGTATAGAAGGTTAAGCCTTTGCCTGCAGTGCCAGCATCCCATACAGGCATCAGTTCCAGTCCCGCTGCTCCACTTCCAATCCAACTCCTTGGAAAGCAGCAGAAGGTGGCCCAAGTACTTGGGTCCTTGCACCCACCTGGGAGACCCAGAAGAAGTTCCTGGCTCCTGGCTTCAGCCTGGCCCAGCCCCAGCCATTGCAACTATTTGGGGAGTAAATCAGTGAATGGAAGATTCCCTCTGTCTCTCTCCCTCCCTCTATCTCCCTCCCTCCTTCCCTCCCTCTCACTCTGTATCTCTGCTGTTCAAATAAATAAATCTTTGAAAACAAAACAACAAGAAAGCAAAACATTCAGGGTAATCCTTGTAGAAACATATAACAATGTTTTACTTATCAGAGTTGCAAAAAGTAATTAGTCCCACAAACTGTTGAAATCTTTACTTAGTATATACTAAGTTGATCTTCTGTATATAAAGATAATTGAAAATGAATATTGATGAAGAATGGGATGGGAGAGGGAGTGGGAGATGGGATGGTTGCGGGAGGGAGGGAGGTTATGGGGGGGGAGCCTCTATAATCCAAAAGTTGTACTTTCAAAATTTATATTTATTAAATAAAAGTTTAAAAAAAGGAAACAAAGTCTAAAAAAAGTAATTACCCCCAAATCTTAGTGGTATGAGAAAATTGTTTACAATGCTCATGGATTAGTGGTCAGAAATTGACTTAGGGGACAGCTTTCCCTGCATCTTGGTGTCTGAGGTATCTTGAGTGAAGATTGTTGACTAGAGTCATCTGAATCTTGTTTATTCATTTGTCCAGTGTTTGGTGGTGGCTGTTAGAGGGGACTGACCAAAACCCTGACATGTGGTCACTTTGTGTGACCTGGGCTTCCTAACTCCACTGTAGCTGGGTCCCAAGGATGAATGTTAGAGTATGTGCACCAGGTAGAACTTGTTTCTTTTATGACACAGCAGAACGCATATAGCATTCATTCCTCTGTACCCTTTCTTGAGGACAGTCCCATACCCTGCCAAAATTCAAGGGGAGGAAACATCAACCTCAAATATCAGTGAGTATTTGAATGTAAAACAGAGACACATATATATGGACACACAGACACATGCATAGTGTATATAAATGTATTCACACATTAAAAAATCACCTGTGAAAAATATAATCTATCACATTTTAAAAGAATAAAATTATACTACAAAGTAAAAAATGTTAAGTATTATTTGTGATTATTTTGTAAGTGATTTGGTCTAAAAAAATCATACGACTGGAAATGCATTAAAAAAATAACACTTGAGAAATGTGCTTTCCAAAAATCCCAAATAAAATTCTACTTAATAAAGTATTAAAATATATTAAATGAATAAAATATCAAATAAATTATATTCTTTTGCCATAAAATAAAGATAAACATAATGGAAATAAAACAGAAGAGTTAGTAGATGCTATATACTTAAATTAGATGCTATAAAGTTATTAAATGTATTTGCTGATTTCTGTTGAAGGGTCTGAAACTGACATGAGCCTTCTGTTTGACAAAAAAAAATGTTGGCAGGTGTTTGAAATATGTTAAATATAGTTATACCTTAAAAAATTCATGGAAACAGTGAATTAAAAAGTAAATTTATTTTGGTGCAAAAATTTTGAAATCAATCCATAGTTTTTTCATTATGTGCATTTTCCATGAACATTTAGAATACCCACTCTTGTACCTCTTCCAAGTTCAGCTTCTCTTCCTGCCTTAATCTGAAAGATTGAAAGAGAAATGAAAGAACATGATTCTAAGTGAAAAGTGTAGTAATAATTAAGGGTCAATCTTTGTACCATTCAATACTATAGCCCTACTTTTTTAGCAAACACTCCTCCAGAATGGTAAAAATTATTGACAATAAAGCTCTCATCTAACCTCAGTCAAATTCCTGGGATCTGTGAGGGACATGAGTGTCTGGCAACATGTTGGTGCTTATGTTCTAATAAGTGTATTTGTATCCTGCCTTTTGTCAAAGGCTGTGCCCTTCACATCTCTTTGTTTTCCTCCTCAACATTTCCACGAATGATCCAGTGAGCAATAAAAGCTCTTAGCTGGTTGGAGTCTCTATAAAGCCTGACTACCCCCTTATCTTACTACCATTCCCCACATGCTGGTGGAATTGACTTTTTGCTTCCCCACAGTGGCATAATTAACATTCCCAGGTTTTATAGCTCCCCCCTCCCACCAAGTGCACATAGACTTCCAATTTTTGGTATGTAGATATCTTAATCCTATAGCATTCATTCCTAAAACAAGTATTAGTATCTGCTGGGACAAATATTGTACACAGCCCTAGAGATGTCAGGGGCAAGAGATGGACAACTTGGAATACAAAGAAAGATACTTGGTGGCAACTCTTTTCCCCCTTAAAGTTTTGTTTTTTTTTTTTTTTTTTTTTTTTTTTTTTTTTTTTTTGACAGGCAGAGTTAGACAGTGAGAGAGTGAGAGAGAGAGAGAAAGGTCTTCCTTCCCTTGGTTCACCCCTCAAATGGCCGCTACGGCCGGCACACTGCGCCAATCCGAAGCCAGGAGCCAGGTGCTTCCTCCTGGTCTTCCTATACGGGTGCAGGGCCCAAGCTCTTGGGTCATCCTCTACTGCCTTCCTGGACCACAGCAGAGAGCTGGACTGGAAGAAGAGCAACCAAGACAGAACCTGGTACCCCAACCAGGACTGGAACCTGGAGTACCGGTGCTGTAGGTAGAGGATTAGCCTAGTGAGCCGCGGCACTGGCCCCCTTTAAAGTTTAATTCATTGCTTGGCATCCCCTAGATGTTAGTTTTCATTAGCAAACACAACTGTCCAGGTATTCCTAGGGATTCTCCCTGTAGAAATTATAACCTGAGATAATTTTCATGGCCTTCTCCACCTGGACATTAACTTTGTGATTTTCCGCAATTTTGAGGTTTGCAGATGTTAGGAGAGGGACAAGAGCCAGCTATTTGTCTTCAGGAAATCTAGGCTGAAGCCTTTACCACCCTCGAGGAATTTTCACAGTAGTATATTCCCAGACATGAGGTCAGTATTAACAGACCTTCTTTTCCTTCTTTATTTATAGTCAGCTACGGTGAAGCTGTCAAAACCAGTGGCTCTGTGGACCCAGCAGGATGTCTGCAAGTGGTTGAAGAAACATTGTCCAAATCAGTATCAGATCTACAGTGAGTCATTCAAACAGCATGACATAACTGGTAAAGTATGCAATATCCGAGATATTTCACTCCCTCTTTCCCCATCCTTATGGCCTTTCCCGTACCCTTACAATGAGACAGCATCTTCCTGCTTTAGTGTTCTGGCATGGGTTTATGTTAAAAAGGGGTGATAAACTCCAGATCCATGTGAGCTGTGCTACTAAGCAAACCTAAGTGGTTATTATAGGAAATGCATGGATTGTGAGTGTCTACTAAAAAAATGTGTTGTGGGTGAGAAATTGGAGGATCCTAGAGAATATAAAGACCTAGCAATCCTAGAGAAAAATGAAATAAAAAGAGCAAGTCTTTCAATTTAACTTGGTTGTAGGATCACTAAGAGGAATTTCTAAATAGGGAAGGTTTTGTAGTATGGAAATTCTTTTTTTTTTAATTAAGTTAAATTTCATGAATTTTTTTCTGACTGGTAAGCTACTCGGTGATATAAGACAGTCCATGGCAGAAAGTCAGTTTCCTCGTTGTTTTTGTCCCCTAGTCACCCACTGCCCCAGTGATACCTTGTTTGAACTCAGTGATTCTCCAAGTTTCTGAATTGCCTGAGTCCCTTCAAGATGGTTACCTTTAAAGCATAGCATTACGACGCCATTTTAATCAAGGATTTGGGGTATTATATGTGGAGGTCAAGAAGCACCAGGAACCAGAAGATAAGACAACCTGATGAATGTAAAGGTCGTTAGGTTCAATTCTCTCAGTCATGAGATGGAGTGAATTTGCCCTCTGCAGAGCCTGCCAGACCTCACCGGCCCTCCTATCCTGAGATTCTGCCCATATGTGTGGGACAGTGCTCCCTCCCTCCTGTGCTGAGAGGAAGAACTGAGCCATGCCCTGTGTATCACAGCTGGGGTCATGTGGAGTGGGGACACCATGTTGAGAAGTGCTGATTTAAGGGCAGATGCTTCCTTCTTTTCTAAGAGAATGCTGACATACTCGCTCGTGAGAAAGTGACCTACCATTGCATAACCTAGCAGCACTCTAGATGCCAAGTCCTTTTCCAATCCAATTCCTACCTTGAGGAATCATAAGCCTTCTGGTTGTTCAATTCACTCCTTTTTACTTTTAAATGGGATGCACTAAGTAGAAAGTATTGCTTTGTTCAGTTCAGATCTTACTCTGTAGCTGTGTGGTCTGGGACAGATCCCTTCAACTTCCCAAAGCATGACTTGGTTGTTGGTTTTCAAAGTGGATTCCTTGGAGCCCTTTGCAGACAAAGGAATAGCAGGTGTGCTTTGTGTGTAAGTGGGTATGTCAACTAGCAGCAGCTCCCCTTATGTCTGTTTTATATATTCAAATTGTGTGGAAAACATAATTTGGCTTTTAAAAGAATTCTAGTACTAAATGTTAAAAACTACTGGGCTAGAATATCATAGCTTCCTTTGGCCAAGTTGATAATGTCTAAATATGTAAAAATGTCTAAATATGTAATATCTAAACACACCCCATTGTGCCAAGCTGAACTAATAAGAGAGTGAAATGCTCCTAAAATTGTAAAAATGCTTCTTTTTTTAAAAATATTTTCCCTAGAAGCCTTTTATTTGACATATAAAAGCTTCATGCATTTCATAAATACAACTTCAGGAACACAATGATAGTGATTCTTCCCACCGTCCCACCCCTACTCTCACTCTTCCTCCTCCCACTCCTATTCCCATTCCTAATTTTTACTGATTTATTTTTAATTAACTTTATATACAAAAGATTAACTTTATACTAAGTAGAGTTCAACAAAAACAAATAGTATGAAAAAGAAAACTATTCCTCAACAGTTTTTTATTTCTCTTTTGATTTCTTCTATGATCCACTATTCATTCAGGAGCATGTTGTTCAGTCTCCTTGTGTTTGCATATGTTCTATAGTTTCCTTTTTTTTTTTTTTTTTTTTTTTTGACAGGCAGAGTTAGACAGTGAGAGAGAGAGAGACAGAGAGGGAGTTGTAGGCAGTGAGAGAGAGACACAGAGAAAGGTTTTCCTTCCATTGGTTCACTTCCCAAATGGCTGCCATGGCCGGCACTGCATGCTGATCCGGAGCCAGGAGCCAGGTGCTTCCTCCCAGTCTCCCATGTGGGTGCCCTCCCGGGCCACAGCAGAGAGCTTGACTGGAAGAGGAACAACCAAGATTAATATCCGGCACCCCAACCTGGACTAGAACCCGGGGTGCCGGTGTCACAGGCGGAGGATTAGCCAAGTGAGCCACGGTGCCAGCCCTAGAGGTTCTTGAGTAGTTGATTTCTAGCTTCATTCCATTGTGATCAGAGAAGATGCGTGGTATGATTTTGATTTTTTTGGACTTGCTTTATGGCCTGGCCTGTGATCTATCTTAGAGAAAGTTTCATGAACTGTTGAGAAAAATATGTATTCTGCCACTGTAGGATTAAAAGTTATGTAGATATCTGTTAGGTCCATTTGGTCTATAGTGTCATTTAACTGCTGTTTCCTTTCTAATTTTATATCTGGTTGATCTGTTCATTGCTAAAGTAGGGTATTGAAGTCCCCCATTACTATTGCATTGAAGTGTAGTGTGTCTCCCTTTAGATTCATTAACATTTCATTTACATAGCCAGGTGCCCTATAATTAGGTATGTATGTATTTATTATAGTCACATCTTCCTGTTGAATAGACTCCTTAAGCATTACATTCTTTGTCTCTTTTAATAGTTCTTGTGTTAAAGTCTATTTTGTCTGATATTAGGATGGCTGCACCACTTCTTTTTTGGTTTCTGCTCACATGGAATATCTTTTTCCATTCTTTCACTTTCAGTCTGTGTATCTTTGTTGGTGAGATATGTTTCTTGTAGGCAGCAAAGAGATGGGCTTTGTTTAACAATCCATTCAGCTATTCTGTATCTTTTAACTAGAGAGTTGAGGAAATTTACATTCAAGGTAACTATTGATAAGTAAGGACTTATCCCTTACTTATTGTTCCATAAATATTCCTGTTGTTTACTTTGGATTTCCTTTGTGCTTTTACTGGGAGATTTTCTGCTTTCATCTTCTTTCATAGAGATGACCATGTTTCTGTGTTGCTGTGTGTAGCACTTCTTTAAGCATCTTTTGTAAGACTGGACAAGTGGACAAATTCTTTCAATTTCTGTTTGTCATGATAGGTCTTTATTTCACCTTCATTCGTAAATGAGAGCTTTTCAGGGTCCAGTATTCTGGGTTGACAGTTTTTTTCCCTTAAGACTTGGAGTATATCTCACCATTTTCTCCTAGCCTGTAGGATTTCTGATGAGAATTCAGCTGTGAGTCTATTTAGAGATCCTCTGAATATAATCTGGCATTTCTATTGTGCACATTTTGGAATCTTTTCTTTATGTTTTACTGTGGAGAGTTTGACTACAATGTGTTGTGGTGAAGATCTTTCCTGTTCATGTCTATTAGGAGTTCTCTGTGCTTCATGTACTTAGATGTCTCTTTATCCAGTTTAGGGAAGTTTTCTATAATTATTTCACTAAAAAGGCCTTCTAATTCAGTCTCTCTTTCCATGCCTTCAGGAACTCCTAAGACCCATATGTTGCATCATTTGATAGTAGTGCTTAGCTCTCCAACACTGTTTTTTAATTTTCTAATTTCTTCTTCATTTTTTTAGTCTGACTATAAAATTTCCAGAGTTTTGTCTTCTAACTCTGATAGTCTTTCTTCTGCCTCACCGAGTCTTTTAAGGCTATCCACAGCATTTTTATTTGTTCTATTGAATTCATCCTTTCTAATATTTCATTTCGCTTTCTCTTTAAAAATCTCAATTTCATGAGGAAAATTTTCTTTCATGTCATATATGGATTTCTTTAGTTTGTGAGTTTGCTTCTGATTACTTCTAAGTAATCCTGTGATCTCTTCATGCTCACATTCTAGTATTGAAATGTTGTGTTCCTTTAGGGGCATCATGTTGTCTTCCTTTTTCTTGTTTCTTGAATTGCTACATTTATTTTTAAGCATTTGTGGAGACCCTTGTTGGTTTACTTTCTTTCCCTGTGATGGCTTTTATCTTTGTAGCTTAGTGGAGTGTATGCTTTTTCAGTGAATATCCTGAGGCAAGTGCTAGGTGTGGCCAGGGAGCTCTGCTCAGTGCTCAAGGGTGAGGGGAGTGTCCAAGGTGACTCCCAAATTGGGCGTGGTAAATCTCTCTCTATTTTTTTAATCAGAGTGGAGGTTTGTTCAGCTCTGTTGGAATCATCTCATGCTCACCTCCTCTCCTCCAAGGAAACCAATGCCTGAATGCTAGCCCCAGTGGGAACAATATTCATCCACGCCACCACAATAACCACACAAAGGATCTGTGCAGTCCTTGGTGTGAGCACAGATCCTGCAGCAATAACCCTCACCAGAGAATCAGGGAGCCCGGAGAGTGTGCAGGCGCCAATAGTGACTGCCTAAAGACCCAGCCACACTCTGCACCCTCCCACTCAACAACAGAGTTTTCACAGTCCTAGCACACAAGGCTCCCCTAGTCACAAGCACCCAGCCCCCTGTCAATTCTCCCAGCCAGACTCAGGCATCTCCTCTCAGCTGTTTGCTGGGCATGTGCACATGAGCTCGCACAGCTGTTATGTTTGTCCAAAGTGATGCCCAACCACTCTTGGCTAGTTACAGAAGACCAGTGCCGGGTGCTCAAACATGCCTGCTTCTTTTCCCTCTAGGTTGTCGGTCAACTGTCCCCCATAGGACTCCAAGCCAGACTCCCACCAGGCTCTTTCCACAGCTTTATCACCAGTGGCTTGGGCTGCTGCATTCTGGTCTCACCTCACTCTCCAAATCTGGTACTGAGGCTCTCGGCTGCTGGGGTCCTTGTTTGCGCGTGTCCACACTCTCCACATAGGTCCACAGTGTTCCTCTAATTTGCATGGATTTTCCTCTGTCATTTTCTCCCTAACTCTTCCCTGAGATTGCACTCTCCATGCTTTTTTTAAAACTATATTCCCCTAGACTAGAGCAGTGAGTTCCTTCCCTATTTCACCATCTTGGTGCCTCTTCAAAAGATGCTTCTGT